AGCACCCCAAGGTGCTAGGTCTTTCTTGGCCTCCGTTCTTCCTACAAGTCCTGCCTGCTTAGGGACCTCTGCCCAGGTGCTTGCTGTCATGAGCACCAGGGTCCCTGCTCTCTTCCTTCCCAGGAGAGGATCCCCTGATTCCCAGAAGGGAGCAGCCCAGCTGAGAGAGGGCCAGGCCAGGGGTCAGGCCACGTGCAGTCCAGTTTGTAGGAAGGCAGTTGGATTACTGGTTCAGAATACAGCGAACTAAGTAACCCTCAGAAAGGAGGTGGGCAAGGCAGTTGCAGACCATAAACCACCAGGAGCAGCCCTTGATTTTAGCTGCCCAGCGAAGGGGTCAGTACCTTTTCATCTCTTTGCCCTGGTACGCAACACAAGGCTTGCAGGGTGTACTTTCAGAGACTGCTGATGGACAGGTGAATGCAGTCAGCCAAGGAGCCCTGGACTCTGCTGTAGGCCACAACCATGAAGCGGGGCCTGCAATTCCTGAGGCCTTGTCTGAGAACCCAGGCTCAGGTTCAACCTGAATGTCCCTGCTCCTGTGCCTGGTGGGTCCCTCACATGAGTGTGAATCTCTGTGTCCTGGAGACACCATGGGCACTTGGAGCTCTCAGGCCACCCCAGACTTGGGATGCAAGCACACACAGCTTCTCTGCCCGAAGCCCACTGGTATGTTCCCCACCCTGGGTCTCACAGTCTTTCTCCATTGCAACCTCACTGCCTGAGTATCTTGTTTCCGGCTTCATGTGTGGCCTGGTCTGACCTGGCCCCGGCCTGGCCTGAGGGTGGGGTGGGGGTGGAGGATGTGCACAGTGCAACTCTTGTTCAAGGGACCGGATGGGGCCAGGCCTGCACTGGGCTCTGGCCCTGGCTCCAGTCTTGGCAGGTGGTGGGAGCTGTCTCTGCTGTAGCATCGTCTCAGCCTGCTGCCACTGCAGAGTGTCAGGAGCCACCAAAGGACCTGCTGCACAGCCTTGAGCTGGACACTCCTCCCAGGCTCTTACTGATCCCTTTACCTTAGGCTCCTCCATCTCAGGGCTTATGTCCCAGGCCATGACAAAGGCAAGGACGTGGCTGGTGTAGCTAAGGCAGGACTGACTGCCCTTTAACATACCCCATCTGGGAACTGAAGGTTAATGACACCAGGGCTTGATTAGGGAGATAGGGAAACAGTGAAGGGATAGGGCTCAGTGAGGGAATAGGGTTCAGTGAGAGCAGACTCAGTGAGGGCTTGAAGTAAAACCAACGGGCAGAGAAGGCTACGGGGCAAGGTAATGATTCCCTCCTGCCCCAGCTCAGGTGCCAGAGCCTTCATCCTCATCCCTACTCAACTTGACTCTGAGGTCCACGGCTGGACACACAGCTGAGTAGTAACAGGAGACCTGTGTCTGACGGGGTGCGACCTCACAGTCCACAGCATCAAACTGTGTGGTCCTAGGGGTTGGGGGCTAAGAGCAAACCCTAGAAGCCAGGGAGGAGGCTATGTATTTAGCTCAGTGATACCACACCTGTCTCACAAATGCAAGGCCCTGAGTTAGGCCTCAGTACTGGAAGAAAAAAAAAAAGTATAAGCCAGAGAGGGGAGGTTTGGCTGGGACATTTCCCCAGTTTTTATTATTATTATTGCTTCATTTTATTATACTATTATTTTTTGGTATGGGGAGTTGCACCCAGGGCTCACACATGCTACGCAAGCGCTCTACCACTGAGCCACATCCCAGTCCTCCCAGGTTTTCTTGTTTGCCTAGAGGTTCCTTTTTATCCATGGGGTCCTGTAGGCTGGAGGCAAGCTCCAGGAAAGCATCTGGAATGCTGAGAATAAAGGGGGTCTCTCTCACTCTCAGGTCAGCCTCCGGGACTGGCAGGGCACCCGGTCCACACCTCCGATTCCTGGGGCAGGACGAGGGTTAGCATATAAACGCGAGACTTGACCTGACTTCTCCCCTCCCACAGGCTCCCTCTGCGGGACCTCTCTTCCAGCACCTCCCTCACCACTAAGTCCCCATCTCTTTTACTGGTTCTCCACCATTGCAGAGCTGGACACCAAAGCTGGGGCATCCTTCAGTCTCACTGTTCAAGTGCTGGCTTGTCTCACCCGTGGGAAGGGCTGCCTGGACACTGGCTTCGACCATTCTGGTTGGCTTGAGGCTCTGTGGCCCACAGAACTGCTCATTTGCAGGGAATCATTTCACAGTCAAAATAAGCCTGGGCTGGTGAGGAACAGCTTCAATGCATGCTATTTGCATATTTCCTTTTTAGGGAGCAAAAAAACCTCAAGTTCTGTTCCCTCCTTGGCTTCCAAAGTCACCCAGTGTGGTTGGCATCTGCTTTGCTGAGCACTCCGGGTGGGCTCTGTGTGAAGGTTCAACAGGCAGAACGTGGACTAGGAGGGAGTTTGGTTACTGGAGCCCTGAAGTCTGCTGAGGACAGCACTAGGGTAGGAGAAGCAGCAAGGATTTGCTTCCCATCCCACAGGGAAAGCCAGGATCTAGAACAGGGAGCAGTGAAAGGAAGGAAAGTTCTTGGAATGTTGAAACTGGAGGGGGTTCTCAGAGTTTCTTAGACTCTAAACAAGGCCGTGCCTACCTACCGATGCTTTTCTGCATCCACGGAAGACGTGACGAACCGATCATGGCATTCTTTGCCTCTGAGCCCAGAGCCACTTCATTCAAGTGGCAGTTGGCATGTGAGATTATATCTAAAAATGAGTGAGGGGCTTTGTTTTGTGGTGCTGAGAATGGAGCCAGGATATCATGCATGCTACCACCAAGCCACAGGCCCAGGCCCCATGTGAGATTAGATTATATCTATTTCTCTTCCCTAGCAATCTAGCAATCTCCCTCTCTCTCTCTCTCTCTCTCTCTGCCTCCCCCTCCCTCTGTCTGTCTCTCCTTCCCTCCTCTCCCAGGCCTATCACATTGAGCTAAATCCCAAGACCTTTTCGAAATTTCTTTTTTTCTGAGAAAAGGTCTCGCTGTGTAGTTCAGGCTGACCTTGAATTCATTATGTAGCCCAGGGTGAACTCAAACTTGCAACAATCCTCCTGCCTCAGCCTCTCAAGTGCTGGGATTATAGGGATGTGCCAGCATACCCATCTTGACAGGATCTTGCTAAATTCCCTAGGCTTGGCTCAAACTTGTGATCTTACTGCCTCAGTCTCCCAGAGTTCTGGGATTATAAGCGTGTGCTGCCCACCTGACCCAGCCCTTTCCTTTCCAGTCTGAGAAACTGAGGCCAGAGGGGATCTGCCTCTTTCTTAGCACATGAGTTATTCCCCTGGTGACAAAGAATAATTTTACTCTGAGCAAGAAATCATTACAAAAAATAATTCTCATGGAATTACAGGTGTTATGTACAACTTTGTACTTTCTGCATTCCCCCCAATTTTGTTTTGTTTTGTTTTGTTTTGTTTTGTTTGTACTGGGGATTGAACTCAGAACCTTTTTCTTTCCAGGCAGGTGCTTTTTTTTTTGCTACCAGGGATTGAACTCAGGACCTTCCACTTGTGAATCAGGTGGTGGCAGCACCACTGAGCTAAATCCCCGGCCTCCAAAACTCTCTTGATCATGATTTCTTTCTTTTCTCCTCTTTCTCACTTTTCTTTTCCTTCCTGCCTTGTTTCCTCCTTTCCTCTTTCTTTTTTTCTCCCCTAGTATTATGGGAGATTGAAGCCAGGCCCTTCACACTAAGCTACATCCACAGCTGTTTTTCATTTTTTAAATTTTGAGACAGTGTCTTGCTAAACTGTCCAGGCTGAGCTTGAATTTAGGATCCTCCTACCTCAGCCTTCCAGACTGCTGGGGTTAGAGATGTACATCACCATACCCAGCTGAACGTGAATTTATTTTACAGTTAGAAATTCCTTGGGCTGGGGATTTAGCTCAGTGGTTCCAGCACCTGCCTTCCAGGAACAAGGACCAGAGTTCAATTTCCGGTACCAAAATTAAAAAAGAGAAAAGAAAAGAAAGAAATTCCTCAAGCCCTCAATAATAATAGTAGTTTTCCCTTTTATTTTAAACATTATGTGGTACCTGTTCTAAGCACTATCGAAATCAACCTGACAACCACCTGGGGGTATTATTTTTGTTATTCCCATTTTTTTATTAGTGGAAAATATGGGCAATGATAATTATTTTCATTTATTTATTTTTGTTTTGTTTTTGGTACCAGAGATCAAACTTGGGATCCTGTGGCTTGTGAGGCAGGCAGCAGAACCACTGAGCTAAATCCCTGGCCCGTTTTTTTGTTTTTTGAGACAGGGTCTTACTATGTAGCTCAGGCTGGCCTTGAACTCTCTATGTAGCTCAGGCTGGCCTTGAAATTGCAGCAATAGTTGTGCCTGTAGTCACATTATATACAATTAAATCAATCAAAAGTTAACATTTTTGGGGATGATCTATGATAAAATGAAGATTTGCAGACTCTTTGGTGTGATATACGTGGGACACCCTACACCGCAGGGAGGGCAGTGACTCACTTCATCTCGTACTGGACATTGTGTGAAAAAACAGCCTGGGCCCCAGAGAAGGCTGCTGAGCGGCCCAGAGAGAAATCGGAGGCCTTGGCATGATCTGTGCCCTCCCCAGGACCTGGACAGCTTTCTCCACTGAGGACAATAGAACGCTGTGTCCCGCAGGGTGCAGAATGGCAAAACACCTCATGCCAAGGCCCCTCTCAGCATGCAAGGGTGGGGAGAGGAGGAAAGATGCTGAGGAATGGGGTGGGGGACTCAAAGCTGAGCCAGCAACAGAGGGGTGGGGTGGTGGGGGCATGGGGGCGGACAGCCCTCCTCCTGCTGTTTCTGCCTCCTGGGAGGGAGCCTGGGCCCAGCGTCTCCGCCCACCCAGCTTTTATAACTACAGCTCTGTGGCATCCCTGCGACCCCGGGCTCATTTGTCCACTGTCTCTAAATGTTGCTTCCTCCTACGTGCCCAGGACACCGACGGGCCGGCTAACAAATCCAGTGACCTCATCATGGAAGCACTTAGTCTCGTGGTTACCTGAGCTGTGGAGTGGTGGCCATCGGCCCTACGTGCCAGGGCTGTCCAAGCTTGAATGGCAATCACAGGAGCGACTTCAGCTGTGGTGGGTACAGTGGTGCAGAGCAGAGGCTTCCCTCCTGGCCTGCACCCACAGCTGGCAATGGCCGGGACTGGCCCAGAGAGCATGTGGGGAGGTGCCCTCTTCCTTCCTGCCCCTTCCAGCGAGGTATCAAGATCTGAGGCCAGATGTGCCACTGAGTGACTCAGCGCTTTCCTGCCTGGAAACTCCTGCCCTCCCATCTCAGCAGGCCTGGCCAGGGAGGGTGAGAGGGCAGACTGGGGTTGCGGGTGGTTGATCTCAAACAGCCTCAGGGGAGCTGTGAGATGGGGGTAGTGGCGGGCATGGGAGGGAGGAATGATAGATACCAGGATTGGCCTGAAAGGTGGGACAGAGGCAGCAGAGACCCTCTCCAAAGAAGCTGATCCTTATCTACCTACCCTCCTCAGCCTGAAAAGCTCAAATGCTCACCCACTCCTGCTCCCACCTGTTCGCATCCAACCCCCATACTCCCAGGCTAGCCCAGACCATCTGCCCTCCTGGGCTACACCCTCACCAGGGCTCCCTGTCCCCCCTCTGTCCCCTTTGCAGCCAGCCACCTGGGGTTTGTACCTCCCACCCTACAGGCCTGGCAGTATTGCTCTCTGGGAGGTCATTTCCTCATTGCCAAATCTTCACCCACCTAATATAATCTTTCAGGACAGTAGGCACCTCGGACCTGGCCCTTCTTGGAGCTCTTCTCTGGCCTCAGCTGTCACCCTGCTGGTTTCCTCGTCTCTCTTCCATCTCTTGCACAGCTCCACTCCCACCTTTGTTTCAGCACTAGATATTGAACCCAGGGCCTCTGCAACTGAGCTTCATTGTCACCTTTTTTTTTTTTCAGTACCAGGGATTGAACTCAAGACCTTGCACACTTGTGAGGCCGGCGTGGAGCCACTGAGCTAAATTCCCTGGCCATCATCAGCGTCTCTTGATGCCCCTACTTCTGTCAGTGCGCCACCATTTCCTGCCAGGCCCAGCCCTCAGAGATGTGCGTTCATTCAGTAAGCACTTACTGCTGGAGATTAAGCTCCGTGGTGCCGAGTCTGCCTGACAAGCACAAAGCCCTGAGTTCAATCCCTGGTACCGGGCATGGGGAGAATTTATTGAGGATCCACAGGTACGTGAAAGGAAGACAGACTTGAAAAGTCATTGTCTTTGCCTGTAAGAACTGGTGAGAGACAAACAATTAAATATGGTAAGATAATTGCTGTGTTTAAGGTTTGTATGGAAGACACAGTGTGCTTAGAGAAAGTGCAAGTCCACCTGCATCAACCCAGAAAGTCTTCCTAGAGAAGGTCACAGATGGGCTGGCACCTGTAGGCTGAGTAGGAGTTTGAGAGGTGGACAGATTAGGGAGAAGCCAATGACTGGGTCACAGGCAATGGTGTGGCAGTGCCAGGTATGAGTGGGCAGGGACTCAAACCTCGACTTTGTGTTTTACAGGGCTCCCTTGGGACAGCATGGTGCATGCTGGAGAGATGGGACTAGAGGCAGCAGAAACCCTGGAAAGATCTTCCTTTCTTTTAGGGCCTCACAGATGCTAGGCACTCCACAGCTGAGCTATACAACCAGTCCTCCAGGGGAAGCTCAGAGCCCAGAAGTTTAGTCCTGCTCTGCCATGCGTGGGCTGTGCATCCTTGGGAAGTTCACTTTACCTCCCTGAGCTTCCTTCCGTCTCTCATCTGACAAATGGAGATAACAGCAGGCACCTGTGGGGACACTGCGGAGGGCTGCATGAGCTAATGGAAGGGAAAGTGCTGGGTAAACGCAAGCTGTTGTAGAGAATCCACCAGGGCGGGCTGTGTTCCAGCTGCAGCCCCACCTCAAAGATGGCGGCACCTCCTCCAGGGTGGGCCCACACCATCCAGGACTGGGAGGATGGCGTGCAGGATGCTGGAGGGTGTGGGGAAGTACGCGCACCCCTCTGACTCCGGATCCTGCCTCACTGGCTGTGTGACCCAGGACCAGTGTCTTCCCCCTCTGAACTTCATCTTCCCAACCATACACAAAGAAAGCTGAGAAGTCAGCCTGCAGGGACTTTGGTAGGATTCTGTGGTACTCCGTAAGCAGCATTAGCTGTACACAGTTCCCTGTCCCTCCTCTCCAGTGCCTAGCACAAAGCTGAGCAGAGTGGGAAACTAAATATTTAATGACAGATTGGCTGAGGATACTGGCAGGAGGGCGATGTGGAGGAGCCAGGGTCTGCATAGTCATCTCTGACCCAGGAGCAGCCGAGGCACATCCTGAGGGATGCGCCTCGTGACTTCCCGGGAGAGTCCCCACTAGTAGGGCCCCCCCCACGTGTCTCTCCCATCTCTTCTCTTTCTTTCTGCCTCTTAGGGGGACAGTAAGTGAATGGGTACCCCCACTTAACAACCATTCTCCGAACCCCCCCACTCATGGTGTGCTGGTGCCACAGATTCAGAGCTGAAGGGGCCCAGTCCTTGGTCTGCAGGGCCTGTGGTCCAGTGGCCTTTCAGGAAAGTTCTCTACTTAACCTTCTGTAAAATGGGAACAATAAATGATCCCGACCCTCTCAGGCCTGTTGTAAAATGAAGGGAAACAATTCTGTCCTGTGACTGGGGTAGGATCTTGACTCCGGTTGGAAGGTTCAACAAGATGGGAACTGGGACCACAAGGAGGAGAAACGCTGCTCCAATGATAAAATGGGGAAATGAAGGTTGGGCTGCAGAGGGAAAGACTGTGCATACCCAAGAGACTGGGCTATGCTAGGCGTGGTGGTGCATGCCTGTAATCCCAGCATTTAGGAGGCTGAGGCAGGACAATTCAGGGTTAGTGGGAATGGATGGAGAGGAGACAGTGACGCTGTGTGGTGGTTGCAGCGGTGGCTGTGCAAGTCTTCACTGAATCATCTCCTTGATGCTCACCTACAAGCCAGTGATTCAAAGATTCCTGTCTCCAGAATATGTCTGTCCCTTACCAGGAACTGACAGAACAGTCAGGAGGGCAGAGCAGCTGTGGTGCTCCCTTTCCTTTCCAGCCCAGAGGTGCTGTGCCCCCACCTCCTGGCCCCGGCCTTCCCTTTGTGAATTCCTGTCTCTGTGGTTGTCTGGAGGCTGAGGCAGCAGAAAGAGCACACCGGAGTGAGCCAGAGCTAAACCCAAATCCTGGTTCTACTACTAACTAGCTATTTGACCTTGGTCAAAAAGCTCATCCTGAGTCAGCTTTATGACAAATGTTCAAACTGGCAGTTGTTTTCTTCTGGTATTGGGTATTCAACCTAGGGCCTTCACACTGAGCTACATCCCCATTCTCCCCTCTTTTTTTCTTTTTATTTTGAGACAAGGTTTCAGAAAATCCCTAAACTGCCCAGGCTGAGCTCAGACTTGCAATCTTCTGTTTTCAGTCTCTTAAAGTGTTAGGATTACAGGCATGTGCTACCACGCTCAGCCAAACTGGCAGTATCTTTGTATGCTTGTCTGGAAACACACACAGAAAGGCCAGAAACTGGGCGTGCTGGCCCTGTAATCCCAGCACTTGGGACACTGAGGCAGGAGGGTTGCTGTGAGTTCGAGACCAGCCTGGGCTACATAGTGAGTTCCAGGTCAGTCTCAGCTACACAGTGAGACACTGTCTGAAAAAAACAGGAAAAAAAAAAAA